GTCAGAGTGAGTAGGGGGACTGTGTTTTGGTTTTTGTTTCTCTTTGTACAGACTACCACCGGCTGGCTGGTTCGCTCTGTAAGTAAGGCTTTTCCCTATTAAATACCCTTATATTTCTACCTGACTCCGTATTGGTAATGGAGTAGTAGCTTCCATTTCAGCTACTCTTTGGGTGTCAATCCTTCCGACCCTACTCCGCTTCTATTCTGTAGAGTCAGAACATTTTCTACCTACCCAACACGGTGTTTCTCTTTGTTTTCAAAATGCCATGGCTAGAATTAGTGATCTACATAGTATGAAGATGGAAATGAAAAATGGTCTAACCCGGGGTTTTGATTATAGAAATGGATCTGTTCTAGAACAAGAAAAGAAAGTTTTCTATAACAAACAAAAAAAATAAAAACTAAAAGGGGAGACCTTTTTGCTTAACAAAACGTAATGCTTATACACATCCTTGCCAACTTCCTGAAATCTGGAGAGGGTTCTGTCATCTCTTGTGGTGGTGGCACCCTCAGTCCACTGCTCTCAATCTGGCTTTGGTACTTTCTCTAGTCACTTGCTGAACATCTACTGTATACCAAGTGATCTGTGAGCTGTTTTGTATTCATTTACCCATGCAAGACCCCAGAGCTCTTATGATTCAAGTTTGACTGTTGGGGAATTCAATGCTTAGAGAAGATCCGGACTGCCAGGTCTATTAATCCTGCAGAATTCCAGAGACCAGCTCAGATAACCCTCCAAGGTTGCAAAACATTAGGGACATTCCTAAGTAGGTGTAGATTTTGTGTGATGTAGATTTTGTTTTAAACAAAGCCTCTTTCAGAGGAAGGTGACCTACAATGATAATAAGAACAGAGCTAACTCCTCTTGCTAAGATCTTAACACAAAAGATCACTAAGCATGCGCCTTCATTAGAAAGCTTTATTTAAGTAATATTTCTAACCAGATTCCAATTCACAATACTCTGAAAGAAATACACAAATCTCAATGAACCTCATTGCATCTACTGCATTGTGACCAATGACCTCAATAGCATTTATTCTCTGGCAGTAATGGGTTCTATTGCACTTGGGTCATGCCAATTAACACAGAAGAGAACAGAGAGTGGAAAAGCTATGAAAGGTCTATAAGAAAAAGAAGCCCAGAGTTGAAACATACCGATTCTGGGGGACAGGGAGTGGCTGACTTACACTCAAAATTGCATAAGCAAGATTTCAAAATTAATCCTGTGGAGACCTTAGCCCAGTATACAATGGTCCTGGCTGGAAAAGAAGAACTGTGAATCTTTGATTTTTTTTTTCTTCAAATCTTTACCATCACTTGCCCTTCTATCTCCGCCTTCTCTTTCTGCAGGAAACTTTATTTCCTACTTCTGCACACCAAGTTTCTACCTCTAGATCTGAGGTTTTTGTTTCTGAGAAGCCTGAGATACTAGTGCCACCAAGAAGAAGCCATCCCTGGTGAGTTGTGATTTTTCCATGACTTTATGAAAGTTAAGCTCAAGCATCTGCAAGCTTGAGGTGCAGGGTATTAGAAAGATAGCCTGAGAGGCTGTACAGCCTGTGCATGTGAAGACAATGATCAAGTTTCAGGTAGAGGAGAGGTGTAATATGCATTAAGAAATGTTAGAAAGACCCTAGTGGCAGTAAGGAAATGAGGATATTGCTGGGTGGAACTATCCTTTGAGGATCAGGTGATAAAAGGGGGACAGCAAAGGGAGAAAAAGCACTCTGCCTGGCCATCTTCTAGGCACCCCCAGGCTTAGCATTCAGAGGGCTTAAATTTCTAGAGCTTTCTACCATGAAATCTTTTACCTCTAGTCTATGCATGGAATGGTCCAAGTCTAGAGCCAAAATATTTCTTTTAAATATGCCTTTTGTCTCTCTTCATGAGGGCCACACAGGCTGAAAAGAAAACTCTCTCTCCCCTTTCTGCTCCCTCTCCCTCTCCCCTCTCTCCTCACTCTCCACCTCTCTCTCTATCTCTTTCTTTCTGTGTTTTCTGACAGGCAGCTTTCCTGCAGCCTTGGGTGCTAGGTTTTGATGCCCAAAATGATGCACAGGCAGTACCTTTCAGTCACTTTGTTGGCTGCTTGATATAATAGGAACTAGATGCTGGCTATGTGCCATAGGGTTAGATGAATTGCTGGTATTTTCCATAACAGCTGGAACAGACCGGGACTTAGCACAGTGTCAGGCATATGCACTTTCTTCTTGACTCTCATCAGAAATCTCACTTAGGTTTTTTTTTTTTCAGTCTGGTGATATGGCTCAGTGATGTGAAATGCAAGCTTGTAAAATGTGTCTATCATTGAAGAGATAGAAAATACTGTGCTATATAGATGGATAAAAAACAAACTTACAGTCAATATTAGGAAAAGATATTCTTAACAATAAAGATCTAATGCTGTTACATCTTATAATTATTATAGATTTTTGTGCACTCATTCAGTGAGTAACACTTTTAGCCAAATGAAATTATAAGAGTTGGAGATTAAAAACACTGCCACTCCCTAACCTCAGAGGGGTGCATAGTATGCAAAAGATAGTACAATATGTGCTTACTTAGGTTTCACAAGAGCAGGGTGATTTGTCAGAAGGCGCACAAGAAAAGGGGAATTTGAGTAGGAGGTAGGATGGATAGGAGCCATTTTAGGCCAAGGGACATGCATATAGTAAATCACCATAACTTGAAGGAAATGGAGAGAAGATGGCTGTAGCTGTGCACAGGACTGGGAACATGGAAAATGACTGGAGATGAAACTGAAAAGCAAGTTGTCCTAGTAAGCAGATCAACCACCACAAGGTCCCACCACATCCAAATCATGTGGTTCCCGGGGGTTTCAGGCTGAGGAGTGCATGTGCACTGTTAATTGTTACAGCAGACAGAATGGGAGGGATGAGCTATAACATGAAGTGAGGAGTGGATGAGACAAGAAACCAGGAGCTCATAGAGGGCAGAAAGGATGAATTTGATAAGTATGTAGGGATAGAATTCAGATGATACAATACTAACGTTTATCTGTAGCCCGTGCTGTGCTAAGTCCTCATTTCTGGTTCACAACAACTTAGTTTCTATACAGGGAAACAGATACTTGACTTTAAATCACACAGCTTTCATGTTAGAGTCATGATTTGTCTTAAATCTTTTGAGATTTTTTTTAATATATATATATGGTGGGTGTCTGTGTTAGTGAGTGCCATATGAATTCAGCTATCTGCAGAGACCAGAAAAGGGCATTGGATCCATCATGCATACATGGAACTGAACTTAAATCATCTGCAAAAACAACAGTAGGTACTCTAAATTGCTGAGTCATCTATCTAGGCATCTAACCTGGAAGCAGGATTTGAACCCAATCTTTTTGGCTCTGCAAGACAACCCTTAATTTTCTGAAGAGGAATGATTTGGAATAATACCAGAGTTTGCTTTTTACACAATGTAATAAATGATAATAACTTAGATAAAGAATTCACAATTTGGTCAGCAAGATAGTTCCTGTGTCAAAATACTTAATAACCTGAGTTCAAATCTCTGTAGCTAGTACAGGAAGAAAAGAACAGATTGCCCCTCCAAACATGTATAGCAGTGTATGTGTGTGTGTCCTCTTGTATAAGTCATAGTAGATGATAAATAAATACTGGTTGTGTGGACAAATTCCTGAAGAGATACTATCAAATAGTGAAAAATTAAACAGGTTTTGGAGAGGATGGGACTTGAACACAGAGCCTTGGAAAACATAAGAATTTAAGAGAATCAAAATCCTGAGATTAGCTGACATAATTCAGTCAATCTGAATTAGAAAAATTTTGGAGCAAGAATAAAGATACAAAAGGTAAAAGGGGGCAAAAGTCAAGTATAGTGCATGAGAGCTTTCATGGTGTAGACAATGAGATATCACAAAAAATGTTGATAAGCAGAGAAGTAGGAATGTCCTCCTAGAATCTAAAAGAGAATTAAAAAATATTGATCTGTTTATTTTGTGTAAGTATGTGTGCCTACTTCAGTTTATAGGAATTAAGTGTGTACAGGTGCCCATGGAGGTCAGAAGGTGATAGATTCCCCCAAAACTGGAATGACAGGTTTTTATGAGCCCCCTGTTGTAGGTTCAGGAAACCAACTTGGGTTCTCTGCAAGAGCAGTAAATACCCTTGAGTGCTGAGCCATCTTTCGAGCCCCTTAAAAAGGGTCTTGAATTGGGAAATTAATGCTCACTGAGAATGAATTTGGAACAAAGTTAAAGCATTTGAACACTGGGTTGTCATTGCAACCTTGTCAAAAGAAGTGTGGGAAGATGGTGGAGACAGGAGTTGAGAGGGTTATTAGAATGCTTTTGGATGCAGGGAATAGATGACACATTTGCAATGGGTTATTTTCATTCTCAAATAAGAAGTCAGAAAGTGAGCCCCCTTTGTGGTTTCTGTACAATATCTAGGTCTTTTGCTTATAGCCCTAAGCACCAAGCTTATGCTAGACAAATTAAAATAAAAGAAGGGGCCACAGTGTTTCTTTTGTGCCTTGTCTCTTTTATTGGGAAAGAACCTCCATAGAAACCTCCTAGCAAACTCTAATTTAATCTTATCATTCAGTAATGAGTCATATTCTTGTTTACCACATGCAGAGGATGTAGTGAATGCAGACATGCACCATTTGTAGCCTTATGATGAGAAAAACACTCACCAGGGAATATCAAGGGTGTTAAAGGAAATGGTTGCTGAGTTGACAAGGTGTGTCTGCTATGAGGAATAAAAGGAAAGTGATATATATATATATATATATATATATATATATGTGTGTGTGTGTGTGTGTGTGTGTGTGTGTGTGTGTGTGTGTGTGTGTGTGTGTATGTATGTGTATATATATATATATATGTATGTATATATATATGAGAAACTAAAGACTAGGATGCTGCTTGAGTAGGGCAAGGCTATTTGGATTAGGGAATTTGACATTTGTGCTACAGATAATCATTTTGTTCTCTGGCCACAGAAACAAGGGAAATGGAAGACAGTGATATGTTACCTCAGCTCGTCCGTGGCATATTATCAACATCTCATTCTCTGTTTACAAGAAATATCCAAGAGTTTGATGAAGACACCACAACACCTTATGACTATGATAATGGTGAGCCTTGTCATAAATACAATGTGAAGCAAACTGGTGCTTGGATCCTGCCCCCACTCTACTCTCTGGTATTCGTCTTTGGTTTTGTGGGTAACATGTTGGTCATTCTCATCCTGATAAGCTGCAAAAAGCTGAAGAGCATGACTGACATTTACCTGTTCAACCTGGCCATCTCTGACCTGCTCTTCCTGCTCACTCTCCCAGTCTGGGCCCACTATGCTGCAAATGAGTGGGTCTTCGGGGATATAATGTGTAAATTATTCACAGGGCTCTATCACATTGGTTACTTTGGTGGAATCTTCTTCATTATCCTCCTGACAGTTGATAGGTACTTGGCTATTGTCCATGCTGTGTTTGCTCTAAAAGCCAGGACAGTCACCTTTGGGGTGATGACAAGTGGAGTCACTTGGGTGGTGGCTGTGTTTGCCTCTCTCCCAGGAATCATATTTACTAAATTCAAAGAAGAATATTATCATAACACCTGTGGTCCTTATTTTCCATTAATATGGAAGAATTTCCATGCAATAATGAGGAATATCTTGAGCCTGGTCCTGCCACTGCTTGTCATGGTCATCTGCTACTCAGGAATCCTCCACACCCTGTTTCGCTGTAGGAATGAGAAGAAGAGGCACAGGGCTGTGAGGCTCATCTTTGCCATCATGATTGTCTACTTTCTCTTCTGGACTCCCTACAACATTGTTCTCTTCCTGAACACCTTCCAGGAATTCTTGGGACTAAGTAACTGTGTGACTACCAATCACTTAGACCAGGCCATGCAGGTGACAGAGACTCTTGGAATGACACACTGCTGCATCAACCCTGTCATCTATGCCTTTGTTGGGGAAAAGTTCCGAAGGTATCTTTCCATATTCTTCAGAAAGCACATAGCTAAACGTCTCTGCAAACAGTGTCCAGTTTTCTATAGGGAGGCAGCCGATCGAGTGAGCTCAACATTCACCCCTTCCACTGGGGAGCAAGAAGTCTCAGTTGGGTTGTAAAGCAATTATCAGTCTGCTTTCTTTTATCAGGTACGAGAAGCAGTTTGTATATGGTAACAAGCTTCAAAGACAGTTATTCTCACCTTTGGGTCTCAACCCCTTGTGGGGCTGAATAACCCTTTCACGGGATGGCCTAAGACCACCAGAAAACACAGATATTTACATTACAATTCATTACAATTATGAAGTAGCAATAAAAATAACTTTATGGTTTGGGGTCACCATAACATGAGAGACTGTATTAAAGGGTCACAGCATTAAGAAGGTTGAGAACCATTGCTCAAAGATATATTAAAGAATAGAGACCTTTAAATCAGGTGTCCAGGAACCTTAGGATTATGCCAAGACAGAACTTCATCACTTCTTGTATATATAATACATGTTTAGGAAATGTTGTAGAATAAATGTGAGTAGAATCTTCAGCTTTCCAGTGAACTCATCTCTGTCTCTGAGAAAAGCCTCATTGCCTTGTGGTAAAACTATTTTCCCAATCTTCACCATGTTTTCCTCTATTTCTTATAAGATAGTCATGGAATGAACAGGAAGGCGGGTGTGGGTGTGTCAGGACTGAGTGACAAGGACAAGATTAAACATTGTTGATCCTAGATGAAGATGAAGACGAAAGTGAACAGGGGCCTTTTTCATTTGGAAAGAAACGTCCTGGTCATTGGCTCCATCTCCTACCTGTATTTAATTATAAAGGCTTTTATCAGGTTGTGGAAAACCTGGGAACTGTAGTAGTTTGTTGGGAATTTAATCTCATGATCCTTTTATACATAACTACATAGCACATTTTTGCTTTGTTATTTTTATCTATAACAACATGAAAAAAAATCTTTACAATATCACACTCCATTGCTTACATATTTCTCAAGTCACAGCTCCTTACATGATATTTATAAAATTGTTTATAAAATATGTATCATCAGTGGTTAGCCTAAAAATAATAAAAGTTGTTGTTTAATCTTTCCAGGAAGAGCAAAGACTGGAGGTAGTGAGTGACGGAGAGTAGGGAGAATGCCAATTCCTCCATCAGGCCAAGAAGGCTGCAGCAAAAAGGCAGGGGATACGTGGGGCAGTAGCAGGAATGCGTTTAGAACCACATACAATCTGAGGCAAAATGGATGCCTCAGCACTGAGGAAAGGTGTCTGGGTGTAAATTGGTTTTAGGTCATTGCTGCTATTTGCTGTTTCCCCACTACCTTTGCACCTGCCTTTCCCCCATGATCTTTATTTAACTGCCATACTTCAAACATCAGTAGGCCTGAAAACAGAGTGTATGAAACAGCCAAACACAAACCCCTGCATAGCCCCAAAAGAGAAAAAGCATTGATTAGATTTTTGTGAGCAAAGAAAGGGATAGATTCAGCAGGCCCAAGAGCCCTTGCTTTGGATATTATACTCCTATAAGATATAGAAACATATCTTAATTACCAGGCAGGATAAGCCTGGATAAAAAAAAAAAAAAAGATTATAGATGGAGTGGAAAGAAGTGTATCACAGACTCCAGTGATTCCAGTGCCTTATTTTTTTAAAAAAAATCAAAAGTAGAAAAATAAAACTAATACTGTAAACTTCAACTTTTAAAAGTGATGAAATATTTCTGTGAGAGTCTTTACCTTGCCAAGCTTGAACATATTGCATTAGTTATAGAAAAAAATTCTGGCTTTGAGAATATGAACTGACATAGACAACTCTGGATTGACAGGACCTTGGGTTTGTGATCTGTGGACTTACCTAAGTATGGTGATATAGAGTCTAAGCCATCTGGAGCCCAGAATATGCTACACAGATGCCATGGCAGTGGAGTAACATTCTCTCAGGCTTGTTTTCCCTAAAATTCCTTTATATCATTCTTCCTAGATGTGCTATTGGTGATAGATTGTCCTTTGAGTGAGTGGGAACCCCCAAATCAAGCCAGCTTCTAAGCAAAGCTTAAACAATTTATTTTACAAAGCAGAGTACTTAGACAAACTCCTTCTCATAAGAAAAATATCTCCTCTGAATTGAAGCAAGAATGTTCTTACCGATCCCATAATGTGTTTCTCATCTGACAGAAGCAACAAACAAGGGAACAGACAACCTGGGAACTGGAAGTCTTTGTGGTTTGGCTTTGCTACCACATGGCCAGAAAAAGTTTCTGGAAGAAGTGGGAGAAGAGAGTATCACTTTCAGATATTCTAATAGTTTAATTTTAATGATGATAAGATGCAAAAATAACTGAAAACCTATGATTTGGGAAATAAATCAATGCTCTATCTATGTTGCTAGAAATATTAAAAAGAAACAAGCATAGGTTTGTGTTTTGTTGACTGTTTTGTTCCTAGTTACACACATCTTCCCCTGTACTATTTTGCAATATCACATTCCTGGTACCTGATGGAGAGGTGTGACTTACAGCCTGCCTTATAAGCTATACATCTTTCTCCAGTTATTCTGCTAGAGGACAAACACAAAGAACATCTGTCTTTTCCAATTATAGCTTCAGCATGGTTGGTGTGAGCCTCATTTTAGGAAACTAAAGCCATGCATCTCGGTGAGTGAGAAGATAAGATAAATGAAGCCAGGACCACAGCCATGAAGAAGAGGAACAAAAGCCCATGCCCACTATGATAAGCCACTTGGTCAGGGGGTTATTTGTTAAGGACAGTGCTGACTAATACAGATGGGAGATAAGGTTTATAAAAAATGTTTTTCTACTGTGGGGTGCAGTATGAAAAGCAGCTTGAGGGTCTACAGATTGGATGGGTAAGGTGAAAATAGATGTTACTGCCATGTCCTTCATGTCCTTTGGGCCTTGCAGACCAGGGCCCTGCAGAGTGGTATGGGGGGGCAGAAGGCTCAGATATGATCACAGAAACATAGGGAAAGAAGACTATCTAGGACTTTTCTTGAGAATACAAAAGGTAAGCATTAGTTCAATGATGGTTATGCAGCACAGCATGAACATCTATGGTAGGATTTTGTTGCCACAGAAGAAACTGCCTGGCAGGAGTTGTCTGTTAGGTGTTTCCAGAAGTGAGGTCTAAAGTCATCTGCGGAGATCCTTTGAGTGGACAGTTGGAGGAAAATGGGAACAAGGGGAGGAACAAGGGGAAGAAAGGCCACCATACCAAGGGATAGGTATTTGGACAGTTTTGATGTAGCAGTGGGCTTGACACTGTTCCAAAATGGCCTTTGGTATGTGTTGTCAAAGCAGCTGGTGAGGCTGAGTGTGTGCAGAGGACCCTGCAGCTGCCTGGAAGGACTCCAGTAAAACACGTCCATCTGCTTTTACTCATTTAGACTTCTCAGACTGCCGGGGTCTGGCCTGTATCAGTCCTACACTGCAGGGGCCATCTATTCTGGACTGATGTCTTTGGAGCTGTGATCAGAACCAGCCGAACAACCCCAGGTCCAACCCTGAGTGGGGGAGTGTGAATAAGGGAAGGCCTAGCTACCCAACGATGTTAAGGACAAGGCAGAGACATCTGATCATAACAGGAAGGCTTCCAGTCAATACTGGCGACCACGGTTTATTCCAGCATCATCTTAAATAACTCTCCAAAAGTGGGGTACTGGCAGAAGACATCTATTATCATGTATAGAGGGTTGATTGGAAATAATTCCTCTAACCCTTGAGACACACCTAAGTGGCACTTACTCAAGCCCCCAGACACTCCATGTCAGCACATCTCACTAGCCTTTAGGGTGGGTGTGGACTGGCCCAGGCCTAGGTCTTTTGTTATACAAACTATGAGCCATTCCCCACTGGCCAGGCACTCAGAGGTAACTAGCCAACATCTAAAAGACAATAGCTCTGAGTCCCTAGAATTTGTGGTTGAGCAGAGCGTATTTCTAGAATATTTCATGTAGGCCCCGACATCAGACAAATGAAATTATCTCAAACTAGATTACCCAGCAAGGTTGACTATCCAGGTATCCATGGAAACACATCATGGGAGAAAAATAGTCTGGGCTTTGAGTGCTTCTGCAAGACAGCTCAGGTTTGGGGTGGGAAAAGAACGGGCATAGGTTTTAGAGAGTGACCAGTAGAGGCTAGAATTTATTAAGATATGGATACTTTAGCATATTGTCTTAGTCACTGTTCTATTGTTGTGAAAATATGACCATGGCAACTCTTATAAAGGAAAGCATTTAATTGGGGGTTTGCTTACGGTTTGAGAGGTTTAGTCCATTGTCATCATGGCAGGGTACATGGTGGCAAGCAAAGCATAGTGCTGAAGAACTAGCTGAGAGTTCTACATCCCTATCCACAGGCAGAAGCAAGAGCAAGACACTGGACTTGGATTGTACCGTTGAAACCTTAAAGCCCCCTCCAGTGACATACTTCCTTCAAGGCCACACCTACTCCAATAAGGCCATATTTCCTAATCCTTTCTAGTAGTGCCACTCCTTGGTGACCAAGCATTCAAATATATGAGCCTATGGGAAGCCATTCTTATTCAAGTCACCACACATACTATTTGTAACTTTGAAAAGGTTCTGGTATGATGTGGTATGTAGTGAATGTGTGTGTGGTGGTGGGGTATATAAATCAGGACTTGTATCCCTACTGGCCCCAGCATACATTTTTTGCCATATCAGCTCAGCCATTCATAAGCAAAGGTCAGGCAACTGAGTAAAGTTTTGGTTCATTGACAGTGACTATTGAACCTTCTAAAGTAATCTATTTGCAATATAAAATTATTTTCTTTTGAATAAAGTTCAATTGATCCTTAGAGTCAATTGGACTCTGAAAGGCTATTCCTAAAGCAGGTATGAGTTCTGCCTTTTCTGTCCCAACTCTACCCCTACACTCAGCCCTGGTTTGTGGTCTGCCTCAAGATGCCTCCAGTGCCTCTCCTTTCCAGGCATAGGCTAGCCATGAAGAAAGTGGTTATGGCCAGGAGAAGTTCTTCACCCCCTACCTCAAATTCCATCCTTACTTCCCTGTTCAGCAGACTGGCTGCCCTGTGAATGTCCATGGTGTAAGGAACTCTGCCCTTCCCTTTTGCAAG